TTGCTTTCATTCTCAGTCGCGTGGGTTCCGGATCTGGCATGCGGGAAAAACAGAGAGTCAAACATTTAAACCTGGAATGCACGGGAACATGTGGGTGAAGCGTAACAAGAATGTGTGACAATAAAAGTATTTTTCGTGAACACCTTCCAGCGGCGTTGAGAGACCAAAACGATATTTTAGCACATACTAGAAGAGACGACATTCAAGATGGCTGCGCCCCTGTCAAAAGGTGCATAAAACAATGAAGCCATTCCTTTATGCAATACTCATTTAAGAGATAGGATATGAAGCGACGTATATAGCTGATGTGAAAATACACTATTTTGTGTGCGCAGATATTCGCAAAAAATCAGAAGTACCTCAAGGAAACCTCACACCCTCGGGAGCGATATGGTACCGTACACTTTACGTGGACGTTCAGTGTCCACACTTTCTGACACGTATCGCGTGATCCATCACCCCTCAATAGACAGCGATGGGGGTAATCGGTAAATCTATGATCTTGCAGACCTTCGAAAGCCCAAAGCAAAAGTTCGCCCCGAGCTGATCAATGGCTGCGAAACAAGCCATCACTTTCTCTGGGTTCTCCTTTATTCAGACCTGCGCAACCGCTCAGAAGCCTCTTATCATCGAAGCAGCAGCCTCAATTTCTTACGTTTAAGCGTCGACGGTGAGCGCGAGGCCCCCTTACGACCGGCGGCCGGCCCTGCTATGCATAAATCTATTCCTCAAGAAAATCTGTGCCGGTGGTCCCGCAACCACGCCGCAACTCACCACCGATCAAAGGCGGGGAGTACCGGTAACCGCGAAACGCCGATAGGCAATAAAAAATTAGATACCGATCGTCTGTCCAACTGGCTTCGTGGTCTTCGAAGCGAATATGCGATGGCAGCCTTGAGGCGTCAAAAGACGGAGTGTTATACACGTGTTAACGTATTGCCACGTCCCGGCTAACACCATATCACTTAATTTCCAATGAAGCTTTAGAGTTTGGGACAATGTGGGTGCGTGTCTCCTGTAAAAACAAATTGAAGATAGGATGACTTTCGCATTAAATCGTAGGGAAGAGTTGCTTGAAGACTTCATAAAAAGCAAAATAAATTTTGTGATTTTGCACTAAATTTATTATTTGTCGAATCTTTTGTCGTACCTTCATAAAGCGTATTTTATTACACATATCTTACATGATCACTTCACATCTCGAAATTATTCGTTTCTTTTATCTTCGGGGCTTTGATCCCTGCTTTGATCTCTTCGGTTCACTCGAATTATTTTAGTGACATTTACCTAAAGATGTACATATGTAAACATTTGAGTATAACACTTTTCATGTGTTCCATAGAGGCTTGTTTCCACGTCAAAAATTAACCGAAAAACTTTTAAACGCAATCAACTGATTTTTCTCACATAGAGTCATTGAACGATATCTGAAATAGACGTGCATTCCTCAATCATTTTCGTAGCTTTAATTATGTTTAGGACTGATGCTTCTTCTGTAAAGCTTTTTTCTGGTCACCTAGTGAATAACATGCTTAAATAAAATGAAAGTTGCCGTAAAAACGTTTACTGCTCTTCAGAAAATTGTTCATTGCAAACAGTTCAGCAATTTGAACAAACAAGAATTGTATTCCAGAACAAAAGAAAAATGGTTATTTTTTGTTTACGAAAGTAAGGGGGACAAGTCGAAAAACTACCATTCTCCAAACAGTTTCGAAAGTTGAGGTTTTCGGTTTTTTTAAATTGACAACACTGTCTTTTATTTGCAAGAAATGTTGAATAATCGCGGTGAACAGCGTGTTTAAAGCGCAATCATCTGAGGCCAAAATTCTAAGAATTACTATGTACTCGCTAATGCATTCGTACTTTGGTTTTAAAAACGTCAAAAGAAATGTAATACAATTCCTGAGACAGTTTTCGAATTCGGTCTACATTAAGAAACAAACTCCCACGAGCAAATTTCGCCCATATAGTGTAGGGAGTATAGTGATCTCAATAACTTTACATATATATCATCGTGTGCAGCTATTAAGTTCCAGCATTTAAAAGGTCTTATATACGGACTAACTTATTTCAGACATAATTGAATATATCAGATACATGAATATGTATAATGTTTTTTTTTTTTTTTTAGGTTGATTTGTTTCCACAGTAAAAATTTAACAAACAATTAAATCAAAGGGGTAATGCCCGACATAATCCGTCCACGCAACGTCTTCAACATCATATATCCAGTTAGCTCTATCTACCTGAACTCCGCCAAGTTCTCGTTCGCTTGATACCCTCTTGTGAAAGACTCAACACTTCCTGCATTTTTTGTTCCTTACCAGAAGTAAGTATCAAGTCTTTAACCAGACTAGAACTCGCAACGAAGACCTTCCCTCCCCGGTCGTTTGTATACGTCTTAAAGGATATCCTTAAGCCGGTGTCACACGGCTCACACGTCATACAAAAGACAGTCCGCAAACACGAGTCACCAAAACATCCGTGGTTCGAATGCCGTGTGCCATGCGGCATTGCAGGCACGGATCTCGTGGGGACAGGCGTTCGGATCTGCATGCAGACTGTCTTTTGTATGACGGTACGACAGCCAGCAAGCTTTGGTAAAAGTGCAGAAAACAAACCTCCGGTCACGTTGTCTAAGGGTGACAACTAGGCTTTGATTCCCTTTACGTTCTAGCGTAGCCATTGTTACAATCCGACGGAACCAATCAAACAACGCCAAAAGTACATCGTCAGGGCGCTCGTCATCTTTGTGCGTTTGCTATCGCTGGATAAATTAATCACGAAAAGTGAATGTGACGTGATCCGGCCCTTGTTTTGTGTGATTGGTTTAGTCGGTGACAGCAAGGCCTCAAAAACAACGAGCGGCGTGACGATGAACTTTTGGCTATGTTTGATTGGTTCCGTCAGATTGTAATGTCGGCTAGTGTCGAAGTTAACTGGAAACGGAATATAATAGATAAATTGAACGAAACCTGCAGTCAAATCGTTCACAAGTGGAAAGAGGCCATGCAATAAGCGCTGACATGTTTCGGTGGCGTCCTTTCCGTTCGTGACGTCACGACCGAAATTTGCATCGGCGTGATTAACAAGCGTTTTCTCTGCCTCGGCGTGATTTGCAGGATCTTTCGAGCCGTTAACCGGAGATTGGGCAGGCATTGTCAGTATGCAGAAAACTATGGTTTGGTCAACCGTGAACTTCGACCACAGCGACACTTTTGGTCGCGCACGTCGCTAAAACATGCCTTACACTGACGTCACATCCTCGATTTCGTACCACAACGGAGGAGAAAGAGAGGAAAGCTGCTTTTGCACCAATTTTGAGTGACGGGTTAACCTCCTGAACAAGTCTGGGGCACACAAAAAAAAGTCCTGCTGAGAAGCGAGTTCCTCCTTCCACTCTTCTCTGGTGGTGGCCAAAGAGCTGACGAGATGACGTCAGGTGCAAGGCATGTGTACTCGGGGACGTCTTTCCTCGGCATTTCCGTAGAGAGGAGAGCGCGCGAGCAGCTTTAATTAGCGTTAAAAATGGAAGAGGGCAACCGTGTTCGTACCTTTGATTGCATTACCAAGAAAATTTTTCGCCGAGTACACACGTTACGTCAAAGCGTAAAAAAAAAAAGAAGAAAAACAGTTGACGAATTACCTTCGAGACTAAACCCACGTATTCAAAATAAAAATAAAGTACAAACATCAACTTAGGGACAGTAATGTACCATAAAAACTGTATTCCGAACTGCCCTATAAAGGCGTTCCAGACGCACGACGGCCCGAGAATCATGTTTCTTCGAACACAGCTACTGTCATTGACATCCGGCACGTAGAAGAAGGTCATCCGCTCGCTAGGAGCGCCTAATGATTCCCTTGGGCGAAATTGGTTCATTGAGGCTCGATTAATCGCAGCATCTCTTAGATAACGTCGCTCGATTTACGCGGCAGGCGCTTTGCATTACTTGTCACGGAGGCAGTGTTGGTGCTGGGCGCGAGGTTTTCACGGAAGCGAATGAGAAGGCTGTAACCAGCTTGAGGCGTACATTTTCGTGGCAGAAGTCGACGCTGGCGAAAGCATGTGTATTGAGCTTCATTACAGGAGATGCGGCCCTAATTGACTATTTGCCGTGTAAATTACTCGCGAATTTACTGCGTGCTGCACGTGATTAGATGCCTTCATACGCAACCACTGCATTGTATACATTGTAAGACATTAGTGATGGTAGATAGAGAGATAATTTCTTAGACAACTCCCAAGTGTCATCAGTCGGCTTAATTGAAGTGAAATAGGTGACAGCTGTGCTCGAGGAAATCTTTGCAATGAAGTTAGCACGCGAGCTAGATGCTCCGAGCTCGTCCTAACCTGAATGGATGGACAGATGGACGCTAATGGCTGTACCCTTTATAACGGGCGGTAGCTTGCGCCACCTAGACTAGCCGCTTCTCAAGCTGTCAGTCATTGTGCTTCTTTGGCCAATAGAAAGGCCAATCAAAGGGTAACACGAAAAACGCGCATCGGACGCGCGTTGAGGAGGAAACCAAGCAGGCTTCATTGCTTGAGGTCGAGGGGTAAAACAAAGGGACGTGGACGGATTTGGCGGGTAAAGAAACGCGCGAGGGGTGCAAAGAACAGACAAGCTTCATCGTCTTATTCACCCTTGTTTCTTTGCAAAGAAGTTCGATGCCGCCCGCTATCAGCGAACCTCTATGCGCTTCCCGTTTTCTTTTTTTTTACATTCTTTTTTGTTATTTGTACTACATTCTACAAGAAGCACAGGTTCCCACAAACATATTACAGGTACTTCTCCGAAAAAAAGAAATCTTCTGACCCGATCGCTGTGTGTTGCTGAAGAACAAGTAAATACACTACCGGAAGTCTACGGGGCACCATATATACTGCGGCGCCGTCGTGGTACCACCAACTCCCAGTGAATGCGGTGAAGAGCGGCTCTAATGCAACCGAGAAAAAAAATATTTCTTTTTTTTACGACCGTTCGTCTCCTGCGCAGGTCTACGCCCCGCAGCCGTACCAGTTCGGCTACGAGACGCAGGACGAGTACGGGAACCGGCAGTCCCGGCACGAGCAGGACGCCGGCAACGGCGTCAAGACCGGCTCGTACGGCTACCGGGACGCGTACGGCCTGTTCCGGCAGGTGCAGTACGTCGCGGACTCGGGCGGCTTCCGGGCCTGGGTGAAGACCAACGAGCCCGGGACCCAGGACTCTGCGCCGGCCGCCGCCAAGATCGAGTCGCAGCAGCCGCACCCTTCGGCGCTCGCCGCAGCCCACACGGCCGCACACTACGCCGTCGCGGCCCATCCGAGGGTACGGGCTACATACAGTTTCAGCGGCAGCTGTGTATGCGTCCATCTCCGTCCGCGTGCCAATGCCACAATCCGCTGGAGCCAGCCAAGCGGTTCCAAAAAGTGTATCGTCGTGGCGCTCGTCGCCGGCTAAACTAATCGCGCACAGTAAATGCGGCGTGCTCCCGCGCTTATTTCTGGGCGTGATTGGGTAAGTCGGTGATTGCAAACTCACAAAGGCGACGGGCGCCGTGGTCCTCTTGGCACTGCTCGATTGACCAGATCTAAAGACCTGTTCACACGTTCACACAAGTCAGCGCAATGTAGCGCTTCCTAGCGCGTGACTTAGTTCTAATATAGCAGCGCCTTGTTAGCGCTTTAGTGGTGCCTTGTTAGCCCTTCTTGTACCGCGGTTACTGCTGCGGATTAGCGCGTGCAGTGCGTTTCCGGTTCCTGTGGTTGGGTGGGCGTCAGCAGCATCATGGCGGACATGTGGTACTCTGAAATAGAAACGCTACAAATTCTGCTACATACGCAATTAGTGCATATGTGTGGAGGGCTTAACGCCCAGAGGTGCCTTCTGGGTGCTCAAAACTTTTCTCCACCGAAATACCGACCGGTACTTGGTGAACCTAGTTCCCAGGCTGAGGCACCAGGACACAGAGCTCTTTCGAATGATTATTTTTTAACTGCTTGTCTATGAAACCAGGGTCACGCATGTCGAATAGAAAGCGATGAGGTCGTAACCAATCAATTAGTCGCTCAAAGTTCATAAATCTGGATCGCCTGCCCGAACGTTTGCTTCCTCTTAATTCTTTCATTCCGAAAGGAAAAACAACAACGTAATCGCCGTGCACGCGCTGTTTCGCAGCAGCAAGCATGGCACAAGGAGCGCGAGAGCGCCTACACTCCGCTACTGAAGCGCTAACCGAGCGCTGTTAAAGCCCTACCCGAGCACTACGTCACCGACAAATCGAAGCCACATGAACGCTGCTTCCAGCACTCATGAGGCGCTAACTTGGCGCTCCGCTGTGTGTGTGAACCGGCCTTAAATTGCAGCTTTGGTTGCGGCCGGACTTCCTGTGAAACGGAGTATATACGAAAAGACTAGCCCTCTCTGTACAGTGAAACCGCCTTATGTTCTACAAGCTACCTGTGATTTCGCCCTTTTGCACACGGACCCCGAAGCCACATGTGTGGGTCGAATCGTGTTTCCCTATGCGGCATGCGCATCTGTTTGGAAGAGCTGACTTCTCAACACCACTTCTGAGAAAATTTCACGAAACCGTCGGTGACGTGTATTCGAGCAGACTGTATCGTAAAATGTAGGTGCAGTGCAGGCTAAAGTAATACAGATAAGGCCCACTGTGCCTAACTGCCCCGTGACATACCCCTCAGTGGAGTAACCCGTGCAGGGGAGGCAGCTCGCTCAAGGGCGAACTGTCTAAGTTGTGTGCATTGTTCGTACGCCACGCCAAGTAGTTCTTACAAGATTAGGTTCTTGGAGGAAGAGTGCATGGCGTTTGAAAAGTATACTGTAGTGTCATGAAACGATACCCTTTGGTGAGTTGTAGTTGTCGCTCCTTCCGTGAGACGGCACCACCACCTCGTCTCCGTACAGCGTTGCACAGGACAGTCATTTTCGTTCTGGTCGGCACACCGTTTGGCCCTTGTCTGGGTTTCTCCCCTTCCGCGGCCGTCCGACCCGGAAAACAACATATACATCTTGACAAGATAACATATATCTAATCTAAGATGCACCTACATATATCTTAATTATCTAAATAAAGAGTAAAATTAGTTATGCTTCGCGAGGAGCCGATCTTTTAACTACGGTAATTGAGGTGAAAACGACTGTTGCAAAGCCCAAACGCAGACATTGCGTTTCCAGTGGTCATCTAGCTACGATCCGCTGTGCGAGAGGTACGACAAGCGTAGATCACTTGGGTGGTGAAATTGCTGCGTTGAACCAAGTTCTCCTAGGTGGCAATGCCTGGACCGTGGATTGGACGCGAGTGCTGCATCAGCGTTCGTCGTGGAGAGCACGAGTTCCAGCCGGACGATGCAGCTCTCGTGTCCAACCTCTGCTCCACGCTGACCCCATTTAGCTGACGCCGAACGTTCATGGACTTGCACTCTAGGAAACGTTGGTTGAACCCGGTCCAGCCGCCATTTCGGGCTTGAGCGAGTGGCCTCCCCTGCTCAGGGCTATTCTAATGAGCACTACCTCATGGACCATCCGTTCAAGTCTGTTGACGAGCCGGGACAACTCTTGGTGTTCTACGGTGCTGTAGTCACCAAATTCTTAAGAATCGCAGGCTGTTACAACTTCACTTTTGTAGTGAATGACGCTGTCGTGAACCGTTACAACTTCGTCTTTTGTGACGACTCTAAACTTATTGTTGAAATCTCAAGCGTGTGACCTCAACGAGTCTCCTAGAATTACGGCGCGCTCCTTTTCGCCCTGGTTCTGACCCTTCCTTACCCAACTCCTACCTCAGGCCGTCCACCTGTCCCCGGCCTTCTCGTCCGTGAGGAAGGTGCCCGTCCACCACTCCCTGTACCCGGTCGGAGCGGCTACAGCCCGACACGCGTCCATCCAGAGGGCCTACTCGCACCAGGTACACGTCATCGGTATTCCTATATCGTGTGCTCAAACACTTTACCAGGGGGATACATTCTACTCCGCCCGTGGGCGTTAGACAGCGCGCCAACTTATCCCGAGCGATATAAAATCCTCGGCGTCCAAAAGACCGCAGGCACGCGGCGCTAAATAAATACCTTACTATAGTCACTGACAGTTTAAGGAACGAAGGGCGCGGCGAGTTCCGGTCATTTCATTATCGTTACGCAGCCAGTGAGATTCCGGCATTGGCCGCTATGGACACCGAAGAACCAATCACAAGGTAAAAGGCATGGACGTAATAAGTGGCTTATATTACGTTCATGCCCTGTCAGATAGGAGAATACATTCTACTCTGCTCATTTGCATTAGACAGCGCGCCTACAGAACTAAAGTTGGGGACAGCGTCACGCTGTCCTCGCTATCGCGCTTTCGCTCTGCGTCAAAAGCGGAGAGGGTTCTCACCGACCACCGTCGACGTACCGAAATGCCGGATAGCCAAAACAACAAAGACGGCTGTCTCGGCTGTCACTACAGGTTTCCACGACGACATATGGCGGTAGCCACCCTCCCATTTCAAAGAGGAAAATCCCGAGGCTACGCGCTTCTGGCCATTCCAAATGCGTGAAAGCTGTCGGCGCTAAGACCATTGGATCTTCAGGAAGTAAAATGTATACTCTGAGAAAGTAGTAGGTGGGTTTTCTGTTTTACTCTATCTCTCTTTCTCTCTAAACGCATTTCTCCTTTTATATTTATTGTATAAGTAAAGTACGAATCAGAGCTTGTCTGTCATGTAGTACGCTTTTTCCCTTGCTCTCTTGTCCACTGTTTTCCCCCATGTTGTAACACAGATGCTACGTCAGCTACCACTGCATCGGGTTGCTGTTGATGTGTATAGAGGCAATACACATCCTCGAAAATAACGACGTAATGCTGGATTTTGTACGTCCTCTACCGGAGGTCATGACGAAGCTCAGATCACCCACGAGTGCTGCGGCAGCACTCGGTTGTTACCCGTGACCTCTCACGGAATGAACATACACGACTCGGAGCCGAACGCATATGTGTCCCTGTGCTGGCCCCCGGTGTCGTAAAAAACCTTTCATTACGCGACCTTGTTATCCAGAAGGTGCTGAGTTGCTGCATAACATACGGTCTCATTTTAGCTGCAACATTCTTCTGAACGCACCACGTTCCCACACTTCCCGCAGGTACCGCAAGTCTACAAGCACAGCTTCCGCCGCCTCGCCGTCGCCGCTCCAGTGGCTGCTCCGGTGACCGCTCCGCTCGCCGCTCCGGTCCACGTTCCGGTTCACGCCCCGGTCTCCGCCCCGGTCCAAGTTCCAGTCCACGCTCCGATCGCCGAGGCGCCGGTGGTTCCCGTTGCCCGAGCCCTGGTAGCGTCGCCGCAGGTCGCGCTGCCGCCCGTGGTCTCGGCGCTGGCGTCGTCCCCGGTCGTGGTAGACCTCGACCAGGGCGGTCCCTACCGGGCCGTGAAGAAGGTCCGTCGCCCCAAGCCGGTCGAGTTCTTCAAGAAGTCCATCATCCGCAAAAGGAGGCCCAAGACCCCCAGGGTCCGCGTCCGCGTCGTGTCCACCACCAAGAACGGAGAACTCATCGCCGCCGACCTTCCAGTCTACAAAGACAAATAAGCGCCACCTCACCACGGCGTCATAAGTTATTCCGTCGTCGCTATCGTAATTACGAGGGTTTGTTTGCTCGTTGTTGTTGTCTTAGCGCGTTGTGCCTGACCGTTTGAGAATCTCTCCGACGCTGCGCAGCGAAAGCTCTATTTGCCGTGGGCGCATTTTATAGAGTCCGGCCGAAAATTCGCAAATGTAACAACATATTAAACTGGAACAAAAGAATAACGAAGCGTGCGTTTACCATACTTAAATAACCTGAGCTTGGGACTTTAACTGGCGAGGAATGCACGTGCCAAATGTAAGTAAAACGTAGAAAAGTAGAAAAGGATCTGCGTAGTTCGTTTTGTAGATTTTCTTCGGTTCACCCCATACTGTAGTGGTGCAGACGCTGTGAGAGCTAGCTTCATGCTTTGGAATGTGTGTTGTCCCAATACCACCTAAAAGACAATGCCTTCCCCAATAAACGTCACCCCTAGTGGATCCAAGCAGCGCCGCCCAGCGTGCGACAGTATTGCCACCAGCTTTTCTTGCAGCGTCGCACAACGAGCACGATGCCAGCACGCGGTGAGGCTAAGACTGACACGTCGTTTGATGACGTCATGTGCAAGCCTTGTCTTTTCTTTAGGGAGGGGGGGGGGGGGGGGGGGGGGAGTCATGCAGAGCGCCAGTTCGTCTGCTTCTTTTGCAGGGGGTTGCGGTGACGTCATAACGGCGAGCTCTGACTGGCTCTGATTGAAGGATAGTGGGTAGACCTCAATGCAGCTTGCTTTGAGGTCTACCCACTATCCTTCCATCGGAGCCAATCAGAACTCGCCGTTCTGACGTCCCCACAACCCCACCGAAAGAAGCAGACAAACTTGAATTCCGCATTGCTTGGCCGCAGGAGCGAGTGCACCGGCAGTGTTATAAGCGCGTGTATGTAGCCTTGGGTTATCTACTCTACCTTAGGGTGAAAATATGTTCATTAAAAGTGCATTGCATGTCCGGCTTAGTGTACATTCGCATATCAGGAATAATCATTTTCAGTTATATTTCGACAGGACCTTATCGTTCGCCAAGGGGAACACCTCAGCTTCAAATTCTTAGATGCCAACTTTATTTAATTGTCTTTTAACAGGAGGAACTTAGTGCTTCCCGTCAAGAATATTTAGGTGACTCAACCAAATTTTCGAGCTACGACTCTGAAGTACGTAATGCACGCTGTTTTTAATATATAAAATAATCTCATTCAAAGAGAGGTTCCATTCCTTGAGATGTAATTGCGTAACGCACTTGGCTGTTCAAACTGCAGCCGCGTTTTCATATTAGCCATTTCTTATGCTTTTCTTAAATATATTTAGGCCGGCGGCTTTGTAGACAAAACGTCAAGTTTTTGTTGTTCTTTTTTATAAATATTATTTTTGAGATGATTCCGTTTAGTGTCAAGCGTCGTCAAATATCGGTTTCCTTGCAACATCCCACTCAGTAGAAGGCGAGCTACAGAAAGTGTTAACATCGTGCGAGCGCAATGGCTTCGCCATTTCATATATCATTAGCTGCGTATGCCCACAACCCACACTTATCTCGCTTGTATCCTATGCGGTACAGCCATTACCCCTCCCTTTCAAAGGTCTCATAAAAGTATTTATCCACTCTCATGCGTAGAAGAGTCTTCTCTCGGCAGGCACATGGCGCTAATTCAAACACCTATGACTGACTTGCCCAAGCAACAAAAGCCTGGCGCGCATAGAATTGCGAACATCCGAAGTATCTCCATCCGTCTATTTTCCCATAGTCCACTTAGAGAATCAATCATTACAATAAACGTTACAAGGTCAATTCAGTTGGGGAACTTCCGCGGAAAGGGGTACTTCTCCCTCCTCTCTCCCTCCTCTCTCCTTCTCAAGTCCCCACCTGTAAAGCCCCTCGATATGTTTGCGTTTCTTCCGAGTAGCGTCAAATGCGCCAGTGCATGAGGCCCATGTCTCGAGCGGCCCTTGGATGCAGAGGGCGGCGCAACACTGAAATGAGCTGCCCTTGGAAGCGAATGGTAGCAGAGCACCCGCTCGCGGCACGTGTCTCTCCCGTTTTCGCAACAATGGTTGGCGGTACTTGTAAAACAACGCCTTTATCAAGCGGCTTTACCAACCTGTGGTGTGAGGCGCCATCTAGAGGCTGCAGTTCCAAACGCTGTTTTACCAAGAGTGTGGTGAAGCGCCATCTAGCTGCTGTGTTTCAAAACCTGCGTATTCCAGAGAGTACACTGTAGTTACCGTAACAGCCACCCCCAAAACTGGGGTGCTTTGAACGTCGGGAGGCGAACCTTGGGTTGGAGAGGGGCCGTACTGCTCGTGGAAGCACCGTCTATGGACAGTTTTGTAACTGGGTTGACCTAGTAACGTTCACTACTCAATACCCTAAGCGAGGCCAGCAAATAACGCCGCCAGAAAAAAAAAAAAAAAAAAAAAAAAAAAAAAAAACAAGCCATTAGAGGAACATAAAGTTCACGATGTGACACTGATCAGGGATCCGCTCATGTCCTGATCAAGTTCAGTGTATAACATCGCAAACTTCGGTTTCAAGTGGAGTCTTTTATTTTACTTTTTACGGCCTCCTCGTTCGCCGTGCTCGATTCCGTGAAAGACCCTTTTCAAAACCCCACCAAGCAACCTTGGCGGTCGCCATTCCTTGGGTAACGAAGCATGTGGCTGGGTCCGAGTTCTCACCCATCGATGACGCAGCCCTCGCGTCCAATACACGCTCAGGACACGAACCCTAACAATGGCGGGCTCGGGTGCTTGTCCCTTTTCAGCAGATACCAGGCGGCACGGGCTTTTAAAAAGGGTCTGTGGTGGTGATTGACTTTCGGGGTACTATGCAGGAAACTAGACGTCCAAGATGTTTTTTGATGCAGCTATATGTATGCGTTTTGAAAATTGCTGGATTTAATGGCATATTCTCGCAAAATCCATCGCAAATTGAATGTATAAAGGTGACGCAGTTTTGCGAAACAAACATTAATAAAAAAATGCTGGCGATTTTTCGCAAGCAATGAGGAGGACTAAGACGTAGATAAAGGAACCTCCTCTATGCAGCCTTCGATAGAACATCCGCTTTCGATATGTAAAGTGAATTACTTCTACTTGGAAGACAGCGTACCACCAGCTAAACTAATTCTGCTTTTGATTAAAACAATCAAAAACTCTGAATAGCCTTTACTTCGATGTGAGGCGAATCGGAAATGTATGATCGTAACGATCATACATTTCAAAAAATTTTGCACTTTGGACATGTCGAATACAGCGTTGTTACATGAATGACGAGTATTGTTACGCACTACCAGTGAAAATATTTATCCTTCGTTAGTGTGTGTTTAGCTTTCGCTGGCCCTGATTCAGGTTAGCGGTTTTACGGCTACAATCGGCGCTTTTTGTTTTATTTTATCGTTGCCCTTCATTGTCTCGAGCCAAGTAGTTTGTAGCTTCAACGCGGACGATCACCTCCTAACTTACTCGTTCTGTTTTGATGAAAGTTATTTCGTTAAGCTTAAGCTGGGCTTCGTATATATCGCCTTCGAATGGAAGTGGCATTAGACTAACAGATTGCGTTCTTACAGTTGCCCGTAGCTATTGATTCTGCTCGACTCTTCTCCGTGTGCTCAGAGTCACCGCCAGCTTAGGGAACTGACAGTACTGGCCAACACTTAATTCTAACTCTTTTGACTGAGGTTCGTTTGGCGGGAATCCCTTCTGTTTAAGTTCACGCAGTATTGGTTAAACATAAATAATAATTAGAAGTTTACCCACTGTTTGTGAGTAAAAGAAAAAGAAAACTGGGACCCCTTACTTTCTTGTTATTCACGACCAGATAACCAATCCTTCCCGGCCTCTCTTTTGCGGATGAGAGCCCGAAAATGTCTAATCACTCTATGACGTCAATGACACCATGCTGTCATGTTACCCCGTGACGTCACGTGACACTATGACGGTGTGTGACGTCATAGTCATGTTTCACCGTGACGTCACACGCACATGGCCTAGCTCATTCACAACACATTCTGTGATCCTCGGTATTCATCAGCATGATCAGGCTGGTGTATTCTTGAATTGGTTTCTAAATACTGTGTAAATAAAAGAGAACTCATTGACCAGTACACTTTCCCGGGAACGAATTTTATTGTGATCTACGTCGATTATGCGAGAGTAGGTTTCATGAAGTTTTGAACTTTAATGTGAAAACACCTGAGCCCACTGCATATAAAAAAACGAAAATTTCCGGTTCATTGGCACAAAGTTCTTGTTTGTGCTTGAGCTTTTGGACGCGTTTCCATGAGTTCAGCGTAAGATTGGCAGTGCGCACGCATGTGTCTCTATTCTTCTGGTACGCCTGTATTCCCTGCAGCCTGTTGCAGGTGGTAATGTTGTTGTCTTTGTCTTTGTTTATCCTGACTACAAACTATTGAATCATGATAAACTGCGCTTTTTATGTTTATTGTTTGTGTTTGCTTGTGTTTCCTTCAAAGTTGGTACAAACTTCTTTTGATATGGCGAATTATTCTTTGTTTCTCATGGGAGACAAGCCTCGTTGTTTTGTTTTAAAATATATTTTTATCATAAAGACGAAGCTCCAAAAAATATTTTATATATAATTATGACTCTTATTTTTACAGCCGTATTTTGTTTGTTTTTTACCTGCGTTCTGCGTTGCAGGACTCAGTTCGGTCCAATTCAATTTTTCCAAAATAAAAATGCGAAACTCTGTTTTTCTGTGTTTTCTTTCATTCATGGTGGCATTGCTGCATATAGTTAGTAGGTCAACTACCCTACACATGCAGCATCCACACCTCCCCCCCCCCCCCCCCCCCCCCCAGGCCGCCAAATGTTCGTCACCATGCAACTCATTAAAGCGCCACTTTTCTTGCGTGCTACAGCCACTTCTTGAACTGTTGTTTCGGACACGCGTCTTGCATGCGAACTTGTATGCGATTTAAAGGAATGCTCCGACGAAATTCTGATAGTCCCTGATTTGCGTCAAAATGAGTGCAACATAGTAATAGACAGATCTGAACTAGTAATCCAACAAAAAGTTAGGGCGCAAACAAGCTGGCGAAGGTTTAACATATTGGACAAAACGCCGAGACTGGGGGAAAAAAGGACAACACAACACACAGTCTCAAACACAGCTGTGTTTGAGACTTTGTGTTGTGTTGTCCCCCCCCCCCCCCCCCCCCCCCCCAGTCTCGGGGTTTAGTCCAATATAATAATCCAAATTGTAAACCGCAATTATTCTTCTTTTTTTTTTTAGCGAAGGTAGTAAGTTTTTGTTTGGTCTGAGAGGGTGAGAGGCTCCACTTGCAACAGTAAAAGCGTAGCGTCAGCCTCTGCTAGGGTAGGTGGCTCAAGCTACCGTTCGTTATCAAGGATAAAGCCATTACCATCCATGTATCCATCCGTCCATCCATCCATTCATCCATCCATGTTGCAATAAGCCTGTTGCCGACTGGTTACAAGGGGGACTACTGTGGTGAATAAATGCCGGAGACACTCACGCCAGCGGAAACGAAAGGAAATATTCAAAATGTTTGTATTTTTCACATTGCCTGCTCGACTTGCAAGTCATACGAAATGCAACGTCAACCCATT